ACTCTTCTTTGCTGTTCTAACTGATGCAGTGGTACTGTTTACCTTAAGGGGACAACTTGTCAGTAAATGAAAGGATAACCTATTGATAAAGGTATACCTAAAGGGAAAAGCCTTCCACCTCTCACTGAAAATATTCTGTTATTTCTTTTGGATACTATAACAGATATTATGCAAGATCAGAAGGGTGTCTTTACAACAGAAATCAGTCGGTGTTTCTTCAGTTGTTCGATTCATTTTAATAACAGTAAAATTCAATATTAACTTTGGTAATTGAAAACTGGTTTTGTGATTGTGTTTATTTAAATGGGACTGTGCAGATTTATAAGATCATGTTAAAAAGTCATTATTTGAGTCTACTATAGGTCTCCAGAGGGCAGAGCAGGAAATCTAATTTTAATAATATTTAATAAATATAAATGTTTGCCACCGCACATTATTGGATTTATATATACCATTCTACTTGAACATTAACCCCATGTTCTGTTTGATTTGAGGGTGGGCTATAATCAGTGGGTACAAGATGTATGTAGGAGCTTAGTGTAAGTTCCTGTACTTCCAGTGTAATATAAAGGTATATATGTGTATTTATGATATATACCTAAACTCAAATCCAAAATAAAGGCAGTTATTAAAGAAAAATGGTTGTTTATTATTCTTTTGTAGGTGGTAGTTTTACAGGTTGTAGGTTATAATAGACAAGTGATATTTGTACAGGTAGATAGTAGGTATCAACAGGCGGTATATGTATAGGTAGATACATGTCCCTATCTACCTATACAACTACAACCTGTCTATACCTACCTATACATATACCACCTGTTTATACCTACTATCTACCTGTACAAATATCACTACTATCTGTATGTTGAGCCCACCCTCAAATCAACATACCTACTATCTACCTATACATATACCACCTGTCTATACCTACTATCTACCTATACAACTACCATCTGTCATACCTACTCTCTACCTATACAACTACCACCTGTCTATACCTACTATCTACCTATACAACTACCACCTGTCTATACCTACTATCTACCTATACAACTACCACCTGTCTATACCTACTATCTACCTATACA